ATAAGATTATATAATAGATATAGATAATACTTGTCATGTTTGCTGAGAATATTAATAAAGTAGTTTTTAAAGATAGATTTATTTATTAAATTATGGATCAAATAATTAAATCAAGAAAATTTTACAATTATTTATATGAGGATATTTTGGTAAAAAAATATATAATGTAGGGGTAGGGGAATAAATGATAGGGTATGGGGTAAAATTTCCATGAAAGAGCTCATTTAACATGTTTTAAGTCCATTCTATTTTTACGGCAAGCCCACTTGGATTCATGAAGTAAAAAATTTTGAGATGGCAAGTCTACCAAGCCATCAGCCTCACGCAATTAGCCTCCACACGTTGATACATATTTTTCGCATAAGAGGACAAAACCATACAAGACCTGCTGCAAACCGTACGACACATGAAAATGCAGCAACACACCTACAAACGCACAACCACTGCTACACAAAAACATACAAAATCGCAAGCCACACGAACCTGTCTCGATTCGTACAACAACAATGCAAAACTTGCAGCCACTACAAAACAAAACCTGTACCATAAAAAGAGTCGTTACAGGCTGCTACAAAGAGGCTGGCAATGAGAGAAAGAGGAACAAAAATTTAAAAGGAAGGAAAAAAGCAGAAGCAGTGTTCTGCGGAAGAAAACTCACCAACCCTCACTCCTCCACACGATCTCCATCAACACACTAAAAAGCAACTAACAGCAAACCTGGACCCGCCGGAAACCACCAAAAACCCTATCTCCGTTTATCTGTCTCCGCCATCGTAAGCACCCTCTGTTTTCTTTCATCAACAAATCTTCGTCGCGGTTGCGTTTTTAAACTCACCGTCGAAACACACCTGGGAGTTTGAAGATTCAGAACATCATTCTCAGCTCTCCACTCCATTGTTTCAAGACAAACCAGACCATGACTCTCAAGACACTCAAGAAAAGTACTTATTAGACACACATGCAAACATTGATAATGAAGCGCATGTTCAAGACACTCAAGAAAAGGGGTTACACTTGGATTCTGATTGTTGGCAAAACAGAAGAAATAATGAGAAAAAAAATATACACAGTACTGAGACTAGGAAGGAAAGTCGTGAAAAGAATTTGATGCCTAGTCATGAGAAACAAATAGGGTAATGTTAACTTGTGCCCTTGGGGCACATGTTAAGAACTAAATTAAGAAACATTGTCTTGGAAATTGTGTATAAACTTTAATTAAAGTATAAAATTAATTTTTAAATCATTTTTTCCAATGCAAATTTACTATAAGTGGTTTTCTTAACATGTGCCCCAAGGGCACAAGTTAACATTACCCAAACAAATATCCCCTCGTGATTTCACTTCCCCGCGCGTGAAGAGTTCCGAGACAACTCATCAATGCTCTGACACGAAGCAGTCCAACGGATACCGTGTCAAGCCAGCTGCACCGCATGATCTTATTGGGAGTTCCAAGACAACATTATCACCATTCCGTAATCCGCCTCGTGATGAGAGCCCACCGCCCATTGTTGATTCCTCAATGCCACATGGCCCACATGCACTCTTCCCTTTCCCGAACGTGTCATCAGTTGTCCCACCTTCTAATTCAGCTCTCCGCCCAAATTCAAATTCAACATGGGCCACTTCTTTTCAACCCCCTAACACACATTCTAAGCCCAACCTTGAGGACAAGGTTATTTTCGGGCCGGATAGTATTGTTGGCAGGCCCACACGAATTAAAGTCCAACCAAAATGGATGCAAAATTATGAAATACAGTAGTTTGTTTTATTAATTTTATTTATGTATTTTTTTATCTTTTGGGCCTAGTTGTTAGTAACCCAATTAAAATTCTGGTTGTATTTAAAACCTTGGTTACCCTTAGAGGGAGGACAAAAAAATTATTAAGACAATTGTTATATTTTTTATCTTTCTTCTAATTTTGTGTTGTCTTATGAAAACCCCTAGATCTAGAAATTATAGAAATTATTGATGAAATTTCTCTTCTATCAGAGTATAATTGTAAAAGTATCCTCCTAATACGAGGGTGGCAAGTTAAAGCATCTAAAACTTGCATAGTAATTGTGATGCTGGGCTTAGAAGAAGTATTGGTGTAACTTCAAAACTTGTACAACTAATGTGGTGGTGACAATGGATTATGGTAAAGGAAGTTTAAAATTTTTTTGTATGGGGAGATTAATGTTTAACTTTATTAATTTGATTATGAACACTAAGATGATCATAGAAATTTTAAAAAGAAAAAAGACGGTGTTAGACACACAACCTCTCTAGAGAGAGAGAGAGATGGTTTTGAAAAGAAACGAATGAGTTGTGTGATTCAAGTGATGTATTTTTATATGACAAATAAACCATTAAAAACATACATGAGTATTTAATGCAAGACAATGATTATCATAAATGGTCAAACAAAATACTCTAATGGGTGAACATGCACAATAACTTTAGAGACTATCTCAAGTATCAAAAATATAATTATTACCACAAAGCAAATGAATCAATGCAAAAATAAAAAATAAAATTTTAATTAAATAATAATTCTTTTATAAAGTAAACATTGAAAAATTTTCTTTATAAAACTCATTAGCTAGAGGTTTAATGAGTATGTCTCTCCATTGATGATTTGTGTCAACAAATTTAAGATCCAAAGTCCCTTTTAAAAACAAATTTAAGATCCGAATTTTCTTTTATAAACATAATCTCAAATAAAATGATGTTTAATTTTAATAAATTTATCTCTTGAATGCAAAATTGTATCTTTTCTATAAACAAATTGCATAGGTATTATCACATAAGGTAAAAATATTATCTTGTTTTATCTTATAATTTTATAGAGAAAATGAGTGCTAAAAATTGTTGTTGATATGTACTCTACTTCAATTGTTGATAATGTTATAGTATATTGTCTTTTTCTATAAGAAATTAAATTTTCACCAAAAAATTTACAACTTTCACAAATTCTTTTTCTTTCAATTCCATCTCTAACATAGTTAGTATCACAAAATCCTACTAACTTATAATCTATTGATTTCTTTTATAGCAACCTAAGACTATTAGTCTCCTTCAAATATCTAAAGATTATATTAACAATAGTTATATGAGATTCTCCAGGATCTTGTTGAAATCGAGCACATAAACAAACATTGAATGATATATATATCAGATCTAGAGGTTATAAGAAAAATAAGAGAATGTATCATACCTATGTATTCTATAGTGGAACCAGAGAGTGGTTGAACACCTACAAAACTAGCACTCCAAAATTTAAGTCAATATAAGAGTGAAAATGTTACAAGAATGAGAAAGAATTCGAATACTGACAAATGGCGCATTTTTTTTTTGTATAAATAGGAGAAACCATTGATAACTAAATGTGTGGATCACGGTTAGTCATAATATTGTTTTGGACGAGTAGCAAAGTCTTTGTGTGTAGAATTACCTACTTCGACGAAAAAAGGAGACTATTTGTTTAGGATGTCATTCCTCTTGCTTTGTTATTGGATCTTTATCCTTGGGCCTTGTGGGAGACCCAAAATAGTTTCTCTCCAAACCCTTGTGTATGTTTTGTTGAATGAGGGTTTGTAATATCTATCTTTGCTCGACCACTAGATCGGGGATGTGAAAGACTTTGATGAAACATCATCACTCTTAAGAACAGGTGCATTAACTGTCTTTCTCGTAAAAGGTAATGTTTCGTTGGGAACGAATAACATGTGTCCCTACGTTAGTCAGTGATGATATTTTCTCTTCCTCAAAATACCCAAGTACTTTGAATAGTTTTTCGAGAAAATCTCAACCATTGGTGGTGCGCTATGGATCGTATAATCCTTAATGAGTAAATAGGATATAAAAGGGTTCTGAAACGCCATTTTAGCCTCTCTGTTTTTGTTGTTGCCGTGAATGACCTGCAAAAGGGTATTTCTTACTTCCTTCGTTATTTTCTTCACGAGCTCTTTTGTTCAAGTATTTGATTAAATTTGTACGATCTTGTTTGTTGATATATATCATTCATGTATGATTGCTCCATCTTTTTTAAGACAAAGTTCAACGTTTTTTATTTCGCTTTGCTCCCCTTTTCTAGGGTTTTCAAAATAGTGAGAATTTGGCTTTTAACCTACTTTCTTGAAAGATTTTCTTGACATTGTTTGAACTTCCTTGCTTGTCACATTTTATCTGCATTCATTTTTCCTTCGTGGACTAGGAAAGACCAAGACATACTAAGTGATTAGGAGAATATGAGATATCTCAAGAGATTAAGAGACCAACACATACTAAGTGATTAGGGGACGACTTACCATAAACAATTTATAAACTTAATGAATCGAACTATACATAATTCAAATTTAACTCATTTAATTAACAAAGTTAATTCTTTCCCCCTCATATTCAGCTAATTTGATTCACGAACAAAGTTCAACGATTTAATTATAAAAGAGTTTCGAATTATGTTTAAATTGGTTCAATTTATTCTCAACCCCTTATGCAACAAATATATTTGTTAAAATTACTCTATTAAATTTGTCATTGCCAAACACAATCTAGTAAAACAATTGTATTTAAGGGTTGTTACGTAGTTATTCATCATCCTCGTCATCACCATGAATATAAAGCTAGCAACCTAAAATCTCAGCTCAAAGAAGTGCAAAACAAATTACCAAAAATGTGAACTTAAACTTCCGCGCCATCACAAAATAAGAATATCAATACATACATCCCCTACTCTGGCTTTAAATTTTCTCAACATCATTTTATATATAATAATCCTACAAGAGAAGAAAATATAACTAGGATAAACACTGAACGAAAAGGACATAAAAATGCACCTTCTGATTAATATTTCCCTCATCGAATTTTAGCTTTAATACCGAGACCAGTATAAATGTGCAAGTAAAAGCTCGAATTTCCAAAAGGTAAAGCTCGAATTCTAAAAAAAACTGTTACATGTGCACTTTCTTGTTCCTTCTCATGAAATTTCCAGAATCGTATTACCAAAACAGTTGTGTTTTCATCTCCTGGCAACTCTGCTTCGTCTAATTTTCCTGGATGGAGTTGCATAATGAGCTATATCCATCCCTTGTTCTGCTTCCTCGTCACTAGTTTCATCAGATCTCCATCTTGGTCCACCATTGATGTTTACTTCAGAATTTAATATCTTTTTCGATTGGCTAAAGAAATGAAGTGCACATAAGGATTCAGTCTACACAATATTAAAGCAATATTGTACATGGCAGCTAATATCAAGGAAAGAAAAGAAACGAACAATAAAATTAAAGGGGTAACTAGATTCTTACCTCAGAGAAACATCCATTGGATCATTAGTAGACATGACATTCCAACTATTATCATCTTTATGTGATTGTACATTCGTACTATTATACGTATTTGGGAGGTCATTTGCAAATTCTTTAGGAGAGTTGAGTTTGGATCTAGAAACAGAATTAGCTGTAGCCTTCCAGGAGAACATAGGACTGGTAGTTTGATCATGGCCAAAAAGCAAGTTTCGTTCAACTCCAGGCAATATTTTGTCTCGCACATTTTCCTGGGAACGGCTTGCTGATCTGCTAAATGCTTTCGGTGGTGAGCCATTCATAAGATGTATCCTGTGATTCCTTGGAGTTGGAGTGTTATCATATCTGAGAAATTTGCCAATTTTACCTTGGCGGTTAGAAACCCTCTCATTATTGGTAAGTAACCCCTCGTGAGGATGCGATGGGTTAATGAAATTACTGAGCTCAGGGCCAGTAGTGGGGAAAGGTGTGCCTATTTTAGCCGAAGATGCTAAAGTTGAAGAGCCTAACAATGTGGATGTGTGATCTTTATGCAGCATGAGAGACGGATTCGCAGATGAAGGAATCAATAAACTGGTTGACGTTGAATCGTGAACCTGATGAACGTCAAATTTATCAGGAATTTCAGCTACCCCGTGAGAAGTAGCAGCATCCTCAATCAAGTTTCCGCTTCTCAGTTGTTCCCGCTCAACTTCTGGCAACAACTCCAAACTTCTGTTCTGTTTTATTCAGATGTAAAATTATTTCAAAGCTCCATGTACCAATGACAGTTTTCTAAACATGTGAAATATTTATAGCAAAAGCACAATATATGCTGTGACTGCAAACCAGAAAAAAAAAAAAAAAAACTAAAACATGTTGTGGTTTGAGGATAAGTCTGTCAGAAAATATGTGCTTCAAAAAACTATATTTTAAATTACTTACAACTAAATTAGATCTCCATTGAATAGCCGTTTCTAATCTCGGTAAAAATTCTTGACTGATAGAACCTTTTGAAATGAAGTCTTGCTCCACCTTTTCAAGTTTAGTATGAACTTGATATGCTTCAGAGTATCTGTAGCGCTGAAACACAGTATGAACTTGATAAGCCATAAATTCAGTCTGATTTTTTTGTCAAAATTAAATATCACTGTCAGAAAGCTATGCTAAATTAATCTAACATTTAAGAAGCAAAAGAAAGTTCAAAGCTTATTTATGTCAAGAATTAGAACATAATATGAAAGTTAGGTTAGGTATATAAACTTATAAAGCCCACATCAACACCAAGGTTAATAACAACACATTATAATCCATTGATCATGCTTTAAAAGCGACATATGACATCTATGCAGGAAAGGAATGGAGTAAAGAATGTGCTTTCGCAATAATATCTTCAAATTATAGAAAAAAGGGTCGCATCAAGAAAATCCAGGAAGGCAAAGGCAAGTTCTAATGTCACATCCCTAAGTTGTATATTAAGCATATACAAGAAATAGATTAAATAAGGAAAATACAGACAATTTTGGGTGGCAAAGATCATTTCTCAGGAAAAACCAGAGGGAACTTTATTTGCTATGGGGTGGAGTATAAGTAATTGGTAAGCAAGGGCTTGGTGATAGTACATACTAAAGAAATATGCATAAGAAACTGTTGTTACCAAGAGTATGAAAAGCCAAATAGGTGGATAACAGTGTCATATATATGCGAGATATGGACCAGAATTGAACATGTGAGCAAAATTACATTTACAAGATTCAAAAATTACAACTGCAAAGACCACCACAAGAAAAGCTTACTAACAAGATCAATAAAATTAGTAGCATCAATGTTGTTAGAGGCGCCAGCTGTTGAAGTTGATTACCTGAATATAAAAGACAGCAAGTAGACTTCCAGTTGTCCTTAGGGGGTCTTCGATAGCATATTCCAAAAGACACTTGTGTATATATTTTTCTTCATCCGAATTCCATGGCAATTCTAGCATTCGGTCCGCCAAGTTTCTCCGAATACAAAGGCAACAAATCTCTGTTACCAGGACCTCCACCCACTCAACCACATTACTATTTTGGCCTTTATGCTTCTCCTTGGTATCGCCAGACAATCCTCTATTGAAAGTCTTTTCTTTTGCTTTGGTGCAGAGAACTCTCTGATGCATAAATGCCTCAGTCAGAAGCCCACACTCAATCCTTACCCGCACTGCAGTGACAGCATCTCTAAGTGAATTCATTTGTAGTCCACCATCACGCCCAGACCATCTCAAAACCATGAGAGCAGTATCAGGACTACCCCTTTCTAAAAGTACTTCTGCAATTTTAGGATGGGAAGTTGGGCCAGATATCTCAGGAAGAATGCGACATGCTTCCTAATAGAGTAATAAATCACATTAATACTCTAAAAGGAAAAGAACAGGTCCACTATATTATTACAATATGCAACATGTTTTACCACAACTATTCCAAGTTCAGTTTTTAGCTTCCTTTAAATATTGGGAAGGGGGATTTTATTTTCTAGTTTCTATTATTTAATAATAAACTAGCACGCTTCATATAATGATCAAACATAAGATTTCAATATAATAGATATACATACTGCTAGAGTGCCTAGATTCTTTTCCCTAGATGAATATATTCCTTATCATCAGTTAGTAGTTAAAAGAAATCAGTAAAGCAATCTTGATTCTTTAGTTTTTTACTAAGGTAAACAAGCACTGAAATTCATCAACCATAATTTTATATTGAAGTTACCTGTAAAGCTTCATCTGTATGATCATCAAGAAGGTAAAAAGTCAAAGACTCAAGTAAAGAGTGCCTGCTTATACTAAATGTAGCTGCAAAGTCCTCTAATATGTCTCTCCATTCTTCATCAGGAATGGTCCAGTGGCGATCGTACAAATAATACAGAAACTACAGAAGTTAAGGAAAGAAAGAAATATTGACAATAATAATCATTATCGACAAAAACACCAGAGTTCCAAATCCACAAAAAGTAAGGGTGGTAAAAGGATACAATTGCTTGTTTTGCAATCACCACATCAGAACTTCCATGCAAAAAGAGTAAGTCAGCAGCTGCTCGAAGATTTTTGAAGGGATAGCAACTCAGCACCTGATCAGTATTTGACCTGAAAATTGATGCTCCATCTTCCTGCAAGGCTGCAACTTCTAATCCATCTCCAATTTCAGGCATCATCTCCTCCTCCAAATCAAGATTATTCAATGCATCTTCAATAAATAGAGATCCACCATGTCCTTTTGACTCCGTTGATTCATTTATTGCATCTGGCCAAGCACGTCTAATTGCTTCTGATTTCCGTTTGCGGACAACTGAAGCCCATGATGAAGTATTGGAAAAGCGAGATCTCACATTATCCAAAAATTCATGTCTGGTACACCAAATAACAATCTCCATATGCTGGGTACAACAATCAAAGAAATTAATCAGCCGAATGAGGATTGCACGAGCTATTCTATACTTAAAAGAAATTCATATCTCTGGGACAGTGGGAAACAGAAAGATACAGAAGGTAATCAAAATAGGGTATACAAACAATATAATGAAAAGGTATGGACTAACATCAGCCCCTTCCACTAAAAGCCCCCTAACACAACATATTACATCACTGTGATTTTCTATACAAAGGTCGTGACATCCATACTTTCAAAGATTAGGGTATAAATCATACACAACAAAAACATAACATCATTTAAACTTTAAACACGGATCCTAACGGAAATAGCTAGAAATACTATAAAGAGAGATATCTACTTGTCAAGATGATTTTACACCACATGATCTAAGCAAGAAACATCTCAAATCAATATCAATGCAAATGCAAAAATTGTAAATAGCTATAGGATTCTACTTTGAGCTCAAACTCTTGCAAAACTAAACCTGCTTTGTCTTTAATATGCTCTCTTGAAGATGGTGCAGATCATGAAGTTGTGCTGAAAGAGTACCCTTAAAAGATGACTCCAAAATGTCTAGCACATTCGATATGCCCTTCAAGTATAATGAAAATTTCAGAAGTAAACTTAATCTCTCTTTCATTCCTGAGACGTCAAGATTATCTAGTAAAAATTGTTAGGGAGACAAATATTAATGAGTCTGAAAAATAGGTCATACTACTGATTAGCTTTAGATACCAACAATTAAAAAAGGTTTGAGGATACAAATTCCTTGTAGTTCAGTCATGATATTTTTGAATGTCCTCTTGCACCAATCCTTCACTACCACTTCATCCAACAAAAATGCTATGACAGGATCACTGGAAACAGCTGTTTCATCCATACATACATCTGTAATATCTGTAAAGTTTCTGGTCAAGAAAATGCGAAGTAGAGATGATATGTGACATTACAAGAAAATAAAACCAATATACAAAACATGGAGTGGAGAACTAATACAAACTTTGAGTTTCTCTCCAACAATAAAATTAATATGAACACAATGTTCTAACATACCTTTCCTTAACAAATAATAGGTATTTTTCTTTCTTTTTTTTAAAATTAAAACTTTGCTAAAAAAATGAGTGTCATTGAAAGGATACAGTGGCAAATTAAAGAAACCAGGTTATTCTCAAGTGCGACATCAAATAAAGAATAAAGGCGTTGGACGTCAGCAGTTAATTGTTTCTCCCCATCTTCTATTTCTTGAAATCTCTCGTCACACCTTTTGGAAATAAGGCCAGCTTCCATGCACTCATAATAAAGTCGGTGACGCAGTTTAGTACCACTCTTTGGAATTGGGACTCTACAAATTGGACAGATGTCACACCGTTGACTACACTCTTCACATAATGAAGCATGCCCACATGAATTCAACACATGGTGGACATAACGACCACAGCTTCTCAAATCTCTAGTGGCCCGGCAGCGCTCAACTTTAGCTTCTTTACACAACTCAATCAGATCAATTGAAGCCAAGTGCTCTAATGTTTCCTGAAATAAAACATCAAAGACCATTTTTCCCCATTTCTCAGACAGAATTTTGTTTGATAAATATGAAATGGTTACCTCTATTTACAGTAAAATACAGTTATTTCTTCGGCTAAATAGGCACAATAAGATTTGAACTAAAAGGATTTGAGACATAGGTAAGATTAATGCGCTATCCATATAAATAAATAGTCATGCTAACAGGTGCCTTAAGAACTTAAGGAAGCAACCAGTGAAAGCTTTGCAATGAAAAGTGTATCTTTAGGACTTCTGAAGAATTTCACAACACAATTGCAACATGACGGACTGGAGCAGCCAGTGACCACTACTTGAAGTATGTAGCAGAGCAATATGCTATAGTGGCATTAACACCCGCTACAAAGACCGAAATTGCAGATGTTTGCAGTTGTGATAGCCTCTAAATGCTACATAATATAAAAAACCTGTTTTATTCATCATCTTTTTACTTTGAAATTTTACGTTGGGTTACTTTAAGCATTAGATGCTTAAACTAGTTTGTTTTCTTGAGTTTTTTTTTACATAAATGATTTGCTTAAGACCCGCAACATTTAATAGTTACTTCATTTATAAACATTTCATGAATATTGAGTATTATTGAATGTTTTGGCATCAAAATATATAGCATTAGTCATTTAATATGTATACATAAATTCAACATAGCATTCATCCCACTATAGTTTTTTTAAGGTCAGCTTCTACGCACTTCTATCCAAGCTTGATAACTATGACTACCAATAGGTTCCGCAAATGACATGAGCTCACTTTCTTTGATCAATTCTTAGCTTGATACCTCAACCTAGAAAATTTCATGCCACAAAAACGAGATACGTAACCCGGCCCGAACATGTTAGGTACTAAGACGAATAAGCATGAAAATTGTAAAATCACGAATAACTCAATTTCTAAGTAGGTTTTCAAGAACATCACAGAGCTACAAAACAGTTACTACTCTACTGATCTTCATTTGCAATATACTAGTAAAGTATACAGTTCAAACGGTGCGGTACTGGAAGCTAGGGTTTACGAAGAAGCTCAACGACAAAACCACAGAAATTGAAATTAAGAGAGAATTAAGATTACCTGAACTAATCGGCTACTGTAGTTAGGTTGTATCGACGGGGAAAAAGATCTAGCAATTGCGGCGGCGCCACCACTAGAGCTCGATATAATGGCGGTGCCTCCGTTGAGCTTCCTATCCATTATAGTGAACTCCGTCAGATTTTTTTCCGAACACGAAATTGAAGGTGAGATTGGGAAATAGTGGTGATTACAGTTCACGGAAGGAACACATCAATGCTCAAGAGAATAGAAGGAAACTTTGGGAGAGGGAAACCTTTCACAGATTGGAGTTGCAGGGTTTTTGAAACACGTTTTTTTTTTTTTTTGCTTCTGCGATTTTTCGTGTCGAATAATACGGGCCGAAGAGTTACCGCCCAAATGAATTTGGGCCCAGATTTTCTAATTTCATAAAACGGCCCATTTCGACTATTAATTCTTCATATTGAAAACTTTACCATATACCTCTCCTTACATTTACCCCTTAACCCCAGAAATTTTTAAAATATTTTCATTTTATCCTTTTCATATATTAAATAACTTATTATTCAATTTTTACTATTTTATTTAAATTTTTTCAAATTGATGAATTTGCACCTTTAGACTAGTATATCAGATTGCTTTGTTTAAAGAGTTTTATATGTGTTTTTCTTTCACTTAAGTGTTATGGTATGGAGATCTATTTACTAGATAACTTACATCATGCTTATCCGGTATTATAAATTATACTAGATATCTTGATTACCAAATTTTCAATTAAATTCATGTTTGATCGCCAAATAACTTACATCTAGTATGCATATCTTTTTAAATTTTTTATTATGTTTCACATATATGGAAGTTTTTTATCAATAACCGATAAAAATCAAATATGTGTAAATACCACTAATGTACTTACAACCACACATAGTTTTGATACTTGAGAATATGTGCTAATATAGATTAAGGAAGTTGAAATCAGACATAAAGTGAATGTTATCATTGCTCGATTAGGTAACGTTATATGAAAGAGAGGGAGAAACAACAAATTAATGTTTAGTTGTGATAAAGGTGAAAAATACAAGAAAGATGGTAGTGTAACACAAAGTGCTACTACAAAATGTAGTTGTCAATTCAAAATCAAATCAACATCATCTAAAGATGCTTTAGAATGTAATATTTATGTAATATGTAAACTTCACAACTATGGCTTACCTGATAATTTTGAAGATCATGTGTTTGTTGGTCGTCTGAGTGTTGATTTGGCTAAGCATCAAGTTTCACTCAGACACTTATTATTGTCCTTGCAAGAGCAAGATTCAGAGAATTCCACTCGATTATGCAAATATATAAACATAAGAGTAAGTTACAACTAGAGATCAAAGGTCCTAGAAATGAAATACTTTAAGCTGATAGAAAATGCGTATTATGTTTATTGAGCTAGAAGAAAAGGCGATTCATATGCTATGAAAGAATTTGTTGGGTCCACCCAAATTCAATTAATTTATTGAATATTTTCTCTATTGTATTTATTGTGGACAATATGTACAAGACAAAAAAGATATATAGAAAACATTTGCTTAAAATTGTTGGTATGACGCCAACTAAGTTGATATTTATTGTTGTATTTTTATATAAGGAATCTGAGTAGAAAGAGAATTTTTTTGGGTATTGAGTAAACTAAAACAATTGTTTAGTAAGGAAGAGTTACGTCTACAAGTGATTTTTATTGTTAGAGATTTTGCTTTGGTGAAAACAATTGAAGTTGTTTTTCAAAGGACGATTATTTTGCTTTGTAGATTTCACATTATAAAAATTGTTCAAGCAAGATACAAGCAATATGTTGTAACTTGTGAATGATATGCAAGAGGCGATAGAAACATTACGGATGAAACTCGTATGGGCTCGTGATAAGGTGTAGTATCATCAACAGTTGCAACAATTTAAGCAAGCATGTATTGATTATGGTTAAATCATTAGTTATGTGAAAGAAACATGGTTGACTCCTCATAGGCACATATTTGTTTAAGTATGGATTAATTGAATGTTGCATTTAGTAAACATCAAGACTAAATAGATATGTATTTTTAGTAGTTATAGTTTTATTGATTTTATGTATTTTATAGGTTTTAGTATGCTCATTTGATTTATTTTTTTCAATTTTAGGACTGAGTATGTTCATTATAAATTAAAGAAGATGTTGGGAAAAAAAAGTACTGGTGACTTGTGCAAATGTTAAGAGGCTATGAATAACAACTTGAAGTTACAATCGAGTCATATTATAGCTCTTTTTCAAAAGAGTTTATATGAAGTTAAGCACACGACACTCGTCCATTTTATGGGAATATGTGTAGTCGATATTAAGAGATGTTTTGAGATGCATTGTTGAAAAGTTTCTAAGGGTTGATTATGTGGAAACCGACATCCAAATTTGCGGGTGCACTCTTAGAATATCATATGAGTTTCTTTGTGCTCGTGAGTTAGGAAGATACACATTAAGAAATGGATGACATTATCATATACGAGTTATGTGATAACAAATTGGTATAATGTCATTCTTATATGTTTAATGTATCATAGTCTAACTTTATTTCCTATGACGATTTCACATTCACTTGTCGTTTCCATGTATTGCATTGATTTTGCAAACCAAAATCATTGGGTTCAGGTAGTTATAAATTTATGTTTGTTAAATTACTAACATACCTTTGACGTAGATATTAATTTTAACTTTATTTTTATAATTAGCTAAAAATGAAACAAAGATTTTTGTTGCTAGTAATAACATTGAATTGGAAGAAATTTTGTTCTTGGAAAACAACATATTAAAGGTTAGAAGTTTTTGGACAATTAAAATATTGATAATAATATTGATAACATTGTTAACTTAAAATAGTTTTATGTATGTAATATTTTGATCGATTTTATTGACATTATATTATATTGGATGTTATTGATTTAATACAAGTTTAAAAGTAATAATATACAAATCTCAAAATAATGACACATAAGTCTCAAAATAATAATAAACAAGTCTTAAAATAATAATAGACGTGTCTGAAAATAATAATTCATAAGTTAATTAATCTATAGATTGTCCTAAGTTAAGTGTGATGCTCAAAATAAGTCTATAAACTTAAAGTCATTCAGTCTTAACACTTATTTACTAGATAAAACGATGAAGCAAATTTGCAATTGATAATAACCTCTTATCTAACTGACTTACATCATAATTAAAGAACATGCTGCAAATTATTAACAATTAAAAATATTATTTTTTGAATTTGAAGAAAAGTAACATTTCGTGAAGTGTTGTTGCGGAATAAAAATAGTTAATGCTTGGAAACAATGCAATTTTTGGTTAAAATGTGTTGTTTTATCAAGGGTTGCAACCTTGTGAAACAACATATACATGACCTATAAATACCTCATTTCAGAATTCAGAAAATAAATCACAAATCAAATATCCTCTTGTACAAAATTGCAAACACCATTCGCTACATAATCGAGTTTTCGTCGGTCTTGAGCAAACTCGATGTAAGGCTGAATTATCCTGGGTATTCCTGCGTTCCAACTCTAAGACATTTGAGACTGCTTGAAATACTTTTAAGGAAAGTGATTTCGTTCACGATTTCAGCCTCGATCCATTCGATTAATTAAATTTCTAACAATCTTAAAAGTATGTCAAATAATGGCAACCGTGACATCTGTTTCAAGAATCAAATGGAATAATGAAGAAAGGATAATAAAATCTAAATTAAAAACACGAGAAGAATCGACATCATCTATCCGAGTACAATTTATTTATTTATTTTTATAAAAAGTAAAACTATGGTGAAAATTATAATATCAAGATTCAAGTTGAAAATATTCTATCAATTATATCAAGAGTCTGGTTACAAATATTATAATTTTTTTTGGTAATAGTTAATTGATATGAGTTTTTATTAAATTAGAGATAAACAATTAAGATATTAATAATCTTGATTTGAAAATTTTGAATCATATTATTTCTTAAAACAACAGAGATATCATGTATGAGTAATTGGTGTTAATGGAAGAAAAAAATAAAGTTGTTCTGAAAACCTTCCATGCTCATGTTATATAAATAAATATATACTTCACTTTTCATATGAATTTGTATGCTTTTAAAAGGATCTTGAATAGTATATACGTTGTTCCATTTTGATAATGACTCAGTGTCATCGTAACAAAAGTATGGTTTAAAAAATACTCCCTCCATTCCTATTTATAAGCAAATTTTTACTTTTAAATTCATTAAATAATTAATGCATCTATCCTATATATAGTCCAAATACATCATTTATTGAATGAATCTAAGTAGTCAAAATTTGCTTATAAAAGAGAATGGAGGGAGTAGTTTAGGATGCATTGGAATTTCAATAAATAGGAGAAAATGTATTGTTGGCATTCCTATAATGTTTATTTTGTAATTGTGGGATGTTGATCATTATTGCTTCATGATTCATAACATTGATGCGGTTACTATCGTGCTGCGGTTGAATTTTATATGAATAACATTCGATGATACTCTCGTTACTATAAGATATATAAAGATTATTTAAAGATGAATTAAGATTTATGTAAACATTTAAATTTAGAGTCAAATGTAACTATTAAATTTTGAGATGTGCAATTTTAAAATCCTTATCATGGAGGATAAGAAATTCGAGATTTCGACAACTGAAGAACCTCGTGAGGAAGGTTTTTCACGGGTGTTAAAATACAAACCAAAAGTTGTTACTAATGAAAAATCTCGTGAGAAATATTCTTCATGGATGTTGAAATTCAAACCACAAATCGTATTTTTAGAGATGATGCTCTAATCATGAGAAAAGAATGGACAAAAGAAATGGGTAAAAAAGAAGCACCAAGAAGGAATGCTACTTGCTCTGAATGCGGAGAAATATGACGTGTTAAAAATGAATGTCTTACACTTCAAAAGAAGAATAAATTCAAAAGTAAGAAGAACAAAAGACATAAAAAAACTTATTTTTAAAAAGTTGTCCGCGTTTTTTAAGTCAGATCTAGTTAACCGACTTAACAAAATATGTATATGTCTGAAATTTGGAAAATTATTTGAAATTCAAAATTAGTATAACACATGTTAAGTCAGACGTCTGTTAAACTGACTTAACAAGTCT